ATATCTTTTGCCTTAGCTTTCAGTACTTTCAGTACTTTGATTGTATTTTATTCTTCAAGTTTCAAGCTATACATTAGGTCTCAACAGCACGATTCTCACATGTTTAAACCTAACCTCAATATTGACAGATATAATTGGAACATAATACAGCTCCAATGCATTGAATCAAATTTTTTTTTTCTTTTCTATAAAGGCATAGTTATAGTTAGGTGTACTGAATAGTTCTCGTGTTTAAAATACAATGTATGTTTTGTCGATAGTATTTGTTTGTAAGTTGCTACGTGACAGCTGTCATAAATAAATAAAATCCCAACCAAGTGTACTCTGTGTGACATAGTGTTATGGCGATATTGTGAATCAACCCAGTGCATTTAACTGCAGTGTGAGAATTAAGTGTGGAGAATATTTCATAAATTATCGGGGTTTCTTTTATCAGAAAGGTAAGGTAAGAACACATTGTGAGGATTATACAGTGTTTTGTGAATTATTAGCCTGCCTAGCACTTTTGAGGATTATACAGTGTTTTGTGAATTATTAGCCTGCCTAGCACATAATCCCAGTGAGCTTATGGTTATTATATACAGTGTCTGTCATATGTCTGACAAATTTTTTCTTCAATAACTTGAAGACGGAGACACCTAGAGTCTTGATACTTCGCCAAAAGGTTCCTAGGATTGAGTGCTTTAAGGTTTCCTTACCAAGGGTGGAATTTAAAATAAAATCAGTTACTGGTCTAAACTAAGGGCCAGTTTATTTAAAAATCCACTGGTCCTGTTTGAAGTGCACTGGTCCAGATAATGAGGGCTTTCAAATCTGCTGCAATTTTAGATAAATTTACAAAATATCTACTGGCCCGGCGGACCACTCTACAGTGTACCTTTGTAATATGTATGACGATACTTTTGTTTTACCAGATATGATGTCAAAAAAGCATACAGCATCACAGCATAATTTTCAAGGTGATGAAAATAGTACAGAGAGAAAACTAGCACCATTTCCGTTCCTTTATTACCCTCTCGACCAGTGGACGACTGACAACATAGCAGAGTATTTCACCAAAGAAGGCTTCGCACAACTTGCTGAGAAACTTACAGGTAAATATTAGCTTCTAGTCCATGTACTTGCCAAATTATCCTTTTAAAATGTCACTAAATCACTTACATGTAATTTTAAGCTTCTAGTCTGTGTACTTACCCAGGAATCCTTTAAAATTTCACTAAAACACTTACTGGTGTAACAAAGGAAGGAAAAATGCTGTTACTTGAATGATATTTGAACCAGGACATCCGAACTCTAAGACCGATTTTCTAACCAATGAGCATCCCAGTGGTCGGCAATCAACTCTGTCAAGTTCCGCTGCACTATAGATAAAAACACCGAAATCCTCCATTACAAAACCTACTTGTTAATTTATGTTTACTGACCCATAAACAGAACAGCTAAAGAAATATATCAAATGTTGGGTAGACATGTTCATTGTCCTCTTTTCAATGTTTCCAGGCCACAACATATCTGGCAGACAGCTGTTGGAGTTGACAGATCAAGATCTGCACAAGATTGATATTAAATCGTAAGCATGTCTATTATTGAAACGAAAACGGGGGAAAAACAAACCCACTGTGTAGTATGTCAGTGTGTGGTGTTGGCATGGTGCGTTTTGGTTTACTGTAAACAGAATGAATTCATCATACAAGGTAATACTGAGAGATAAGTACCCATTCACCATACCAGGTAATGTTGAGAGATAAGTACCCATTTACCATACCAGGTAATTCAGAGAGATAAGTACCCATTCACATATCCATACCAGGTAATGCTGAGAGATCAGTACCCATTCACCATACCATGTCTAAGCAAAATCTGCCAGTAATTAATGAACAATACATGTGTCTTTGGGTTTAATGGTCTAAGATAAATTGATTATTGGCAAAAAGGGATCACTTGAATTTCTATTTTCATGGTTTGAATGGTATGCACTTTTTATTACCACCGATTCCCATACTCGTTACCAAGTAAATACATTCTAAAATGGGGAACATCTCAAAACCAGAAGAAATTCAAACTTTTTTATTCTTAATCTCAATTTAAAGCTTTTTAGGGCCCCATATCGGAGATACGGGTGCCCTATAGTAATCACTCTGTCTGTCTGTCTGTCTGTCTGTCGTCCACAAATTTTATTCCTTGCTGATAACTTTGCTATTTATTGACCAATGTACATGAAACTTGGTCAAGATGTTCAGCTCACAAAAATACACATTGAGGTAAAAAGTCAAGGTCAAAGGTCAAGGTCATTAGGTTCAAAGGTTAAGGTCAAATTTTACATCTTTTCACTGATGAATATTTTGTTATGACATTATGAAGCAAAGTTGATCAGAACTAAACAAGGAGTCAACTGACCAAAGGTCAAGGTCGTCGGGTCAGGGGTCAAGGTCAATTTTTTGTAGCTTTTCACTGGTGAACATTTCGCTATGACATTATGGAGCAAAGTTGTTCGGAATTAAACAAAGAGAAACACTGAGGTAAAAAGTCGAGGTCAAGGTCATTAGATTCAAAGGTCAAGGTCAAATTTTGCATCTTTTCACTGGTGAACATTTCGCTATGACACTTTGAAGCAATGTAGCTCAGAATTAAACAAAGAGTCAATTGACCAAAGGTCAAGGTCACTGGGTCAAAGATGAAGGTTACATTTTGTACCTTTTCCCTGATGAACATTTTGTTATGACATTATGAAGCGTGTGTATTTTGGGAGGCTGCGACATGCATCTTTCACACAGGGGAGGCCGTCCTTAAATGACCTTAGCAGTTAATAGGACGTTAATCAAAATCAAACAAACAAANGTCGGAATTAAAGAATAAGTCAACTGACCAAAGATCAGGGTCACTTGGTTAATGGTCAAGGTCATTTGGGTCCAAAGGTCAAAGACAAAGTGGATCTCTGACTTTGACCCTGGCTCTTGATGGAGGAGGTATATAAGGTGAAATAAAACAAATCAAAGCTAACAAATGAGTATTGCACCGGTATTTACATTTCTGTTAGCCCAGCAAATATGGAGGTGGAAGGAAACAAGACTCGCATCATAGTACATGTAAAATGTATATTTTGATTCCTTGCGATTCTTTTTGAAGTCCAAATATCAAGCTCAGTTATATGGGCAGATTGCTTCTTGATGATTATGGGGGATATATTGCCACAAGACGGGGCCCTTACTCACCTCTCAGTGTTCTAGTTTATTTGCACTGTCAGCTTTAAGTAAAATAGCTTCCTGTTTCAGAGAGAAGGACTGTGCCACAACAATGAAGATCATTAAAGAGATCCAGACCAGTGCCATGCCTGAACTGAAGGTAAATAATTACGTTTTAGTCTACAATTATCAGATGGTGGGCTGTTCAAAATGTCTTTCGTCTAATGGTCTGTAGTCCACCCTTAAACTATTCATGTTACAGCTATTTCACAAAAAGGTCTGGACAGATCCTTCTGAAGTTGATATTAGTCCGTACAGTTTGTATGTTCAATTTTGAAACTAATCAGAAGAACAAGATGTCTGCCAGGTGACCATATTTGATTTTGATTTTTACATTGTTAGCACTCTTTCTAAAAATTTGCTTGAGGGATCTTTCTTAAATTTCACATGTAGGTCCATTTGGTCCAGAATTGTGAGTCTTTGAGTTTGAAACTTATTTAAGGAATAGTATGATGGTTGCCCTCTGAATTGTATTTTGTAGGTTTAAGTTTTTTGTCACTTTTTCTCTGGAAGTCCTTAAAGTCTCCTCAAATTCAAAAGTAGGTTCAATTTGAGACTGATTAGTAGAACAAGATCTAACAGTTAAAGTCATTGGAGTGTATTGATAAACGGAAACAGGAAGTACATCCCTAGTTGAAAATCCAATGTAGGGAGACAGTATCACAATTTTCGCAAATTCTAATGTTTGGTATTAAACTGATGAATATTGTATGTTTATTATTGACAGAACAGTGTGTTCTCGCAATATTAAAGTATTTCAAAGCAATCCAGGCATTAATTCACGGGTTTTTTTATCAATGAGTCACATGTGTCCATTTTTCTGTACTTCAGGAAACCGGCTACCTATTTCACTGCAGTAGATTTCTCTTAATATCACCTCCCTTTTGTCAGAGAAAAACATGATATTAACAGAAACATGACATAAACAGAATACATATTTTCTGATGTTTTTCAGCCCTCAAAACTAGAAGTGAACTTAGTCAAATGCCTAAGTGATGTGGCTCTACGAAGAAGATTGATATTTTGTAACTAACCATGTTCTTTACCCTAGTTGAAATATAGATATAAGTAAATAAGTATAGAAATAAATATATTATTTGTATTTTATTTCAGTATGCAGTTACATTTCATATAGTTAGTAGCAAAATGACGATCAGTACGATTGTAATAATGATTGTTTACTGCAGTAGTGATGTAGGCATACAAGTGTTAGGCTGGTATTCTGCATCAAATTCAATCGTAAACATGAGACTTGGTAAATGTTTACCTATATCTTGATATATATACTGTTCTTTCACTAGTAACATCTTTTTATAGGTTAATTTCCTTAGATATTTGCTGCAAGTGTATAATCGAAGATAGTACACATGTTATAATTAGTTGAAAGAATACATCACACTTGGCATTAGAAAAGTTTACAGATGTTAGACTGTCCTAGCTCCCCAAACCACAGGTGAATATCATGTTAACAAGTATGTAAGTCAACCTATTGTTTAACAGTCAGCCAGGTGTAACCTATTGTTTGACTGTCAGCCAGGTGTAAAAAATACCCTGTTAGGCCGAGGCATTGTTTACATAATGCGTCCAGGGGGTGACAGAAGGTCCCCAGGGCATTTATCATGAATCATTACCACCATTTACCTGTGACAGTGGCCAAAATAAAGTGATATTAAGAGAAATCGACATAAAATCAGGTGATAATAAAAGAATTGAATTGCATAGATTATATAGCAGGAAAAAACGGTGCATCAAAAAAACATGATAATAACCGAAAAGTGACTTTAACAGACGTGATATTAGGTGAAATGTACTGTACTGTGAAGTTTTTCAAGAACGTTAACTCTTACCTGCAATTACTATGTGTATATGGTTTTATTATAAAATGTCAATTTTTATATCGTGTTTGGAGAATTAATTTTACACAATTTCAGCATTTATTAAATTGATATACATTAATGCAATACTAATATATGTCAGTATCATTTTTATTGACATTATTTTGTAAAAATATTGTGTTTTTCATTATTGCACTCCTTTTTACATAAATTTCAATTCAAAATCCTAAAAATTCTGACAACCTATATTTTTTTTGTGGCAGAAAATTTTCTTTACTTTAAAGCAATATAATTACAAAATTGAAGAAATTCTACTGAGAAATGGTGACACAATCCTATTACCTTAAAGTTTGTTAATGTTAATTCTCAGAAAGTGCTGGAGGAATTTTTCTCAGAGTTCTTTTTTGCTCTTCTTCGCTTGCACATGTTTACCGCATTCATGCCATAACTTTCCAGTATAAATTAGTGAGATCAGTTTTAGTGAGTTTTTGGTCAAAATTAGTGAGATTTTTATCTGAGTTAGTGAGAATTTAGTGAGACATTTAAAACAGAAATTGGAGTTTGAAGATTTATGGTTATTGTAAAGAGTTTTAGTGAGGTTAACATGTGGTATATGATCATGATCACACCCCCGTAGCCATCAACGTTTTGAAGTATATAAATCCCAATAATACCATTTAGAACCTACTTGATATATATTACCATAGTTGCTATTAAAAAGTGTCAACTTTTCCTTTAAACAACTTCTTCTGAAGAACGGACAGGCCTAGAGTCATGATATTTGGCTGAAAGCTTTGTTGGTAAGAGCCCTTAAAAGTTTGAGAATGAAAATGACCTTGACCTTCTTTCAAGGTCACAGGGGTCAAATATGTCAAAAACTTCAAAAGACTTCTTCTGAAGAACTAAAAGGTATAGAATCTTCATATTTGGCTGATGGCTTCCTGGGATGGAGCCCAACAAAGTTTGAGAATGAAAATTACCTTGACTTACTTTCAAGGTCACAGGGGTCAAATGTGTCAAAAGCTTCAAATGACTTTTTCTGAAGAACTGAAAGGTATAGAATCTTTATATTTGATTGATGGCTTCCTAGGATAGAGCCCAACAAAGTTTGAGGATGAAAATGACCTTGACCTTCTTTCAAGGTCGCAGGGGTCAAATGTGTCAAAAACTTCAAACGACTTCTTCTGAACAACTGAAAGGTATAGAATCTTTATATTTGGCTTCTAGCTTCCTAGAAAAAAGCCCAACAAAGTTTGAGAATGAAAATGACCTTGACCTACTTTTAAGGTCACATGAGGCAGATATGTCAAACACTTCAAATTACTTCTTCTGAAGAACTGGAAGTTATAGAACCTTAATACTTGGCTGATTATTTCCTGGGAAAGAGCCCAACAAAATTTGCGAATGAAAGTGACCTTGACCTACTTTCAAGGTCACAGGAGTCGGATATGATTAAAGCTTAGAACAACTTTTTATGAAGAACTGAAAGGTATAAAATCTTAATATTTGGCTGGTGACTTCCTGGGATAAAGCTCACCAAAGTGTGCGAATGAAAATGACCTCAACCTACTTTAGAGGTTACAGAGGTCAACAACATTTTAATGGATTTGTTCTTAAGAACTAAAAGGAATGGATTCATAGGATTTGGCTGGTAGCTTTTGGAATAGAGCTAACCAATTTGAGAAGGAAAATGACATTGACCTACTTACAAGGTCACAGGGAAAAATATGTCAAGCAACTTCTGAAGAATCAAAAAGCATAGAATCTTATAATGATATTTTGCTGGTAGTTTCAACGGATGAAGCCAACAAAGTTTGGGAGGGAAATACTTTTAGTGCAATATAATATTTAATGAGAATATTTTGCTATGACTGCTTAAATATTCAGGTGAGCGATACAGGCCCTTTTGGGCCTCTTGTTTCAATAAAAAGGAAAGTTTGTTTAGTGTTATTATATTTATACTAATCTATATATTTCTGTAGAATTATGTTCAACAAAGAAAATCAAAGAAAAATAAATAATCATGATTAAATGAAGTAAAAATGCTAGAGGGCTCGGCTCTCCTTGTTAATCCAGGTTAGAAAAAGAAAAAGAAAAATATATATCTCAAATTATTGGGAATATTTAAAAAGGTGGACATACTTAGTACTTGTATTTCACTATACGACAACAGAATACATTCTAGATATAATATCAGTGTCTGGTTTCGTTTCTTTTCAGGACTTAGATTTCTGTTTCAGTTGTCTATTCTGTAATGCACTAACAGCTCATAAGTGGCTGGG